AGGCCACCGGCTACAACTACACCTACATGCCCAACCAGTTCAACCACGACACGCAGGACGAGGCCGGGCTGGAGGTGCACCAGTTCTGGCCGCTGGTGGAGATCCAGTGCTCCAGCGACCTGCGCTTCTTCCTCTGCAGCATGTACACCCCCATCTGCCTGCCCGACTACACCAAGCCGCTGCCGCCCTGCCGCTCCGTCTGCGAGCGGGCCAAGGCCGGCTGCTCGCCCCTCATGCATGGCTTCGCCGGGCCCGAGAGGATGAGCTGCGACCGCCTGCCGGTGCTCGGGGACTCCGAGGTGCTCTGCATGGGGTACAACCGCACAGAAGCCACCACCCTGCCGCCTTTCTTCGGGAAGCCCACGCGCCCAGCCAAAGACGCGGCCAAAAACCTGACGCCGCTCGGCGGGCAGCGCCCCTCGGGGCCGGACTGCGGCCGGACCTGCAAGTGCAAAGCGCCCCTGGTCCCCATCTCCAAGGAGTCCCATCCGCTGTACAACCGCATCCGGACTGGGCAGGTACCCAACTGCGCCATCCCCTGCTACCAGCCCTACTTTACCCAGGATGAGAAGACCTTCGCCACCTTCTGGATTGGTCTCTGGTCCATCCTCTGCTTCCTCTCCACCTCCACCACCGTGGCCACCTTCCTCATCGACATGGAGCGCTTCAAGTACCCCGAGCGCCCCATCATCTTCCTCTCTGCTTGCTACCTCTTTGTCTCCGTGGGCTACATCGTGCGGCTGGTGGCAGGGCACGCCAGCGTGGCTTGCAACCCAGAGCACCACCATATCCACTATGAGACCACAGGCCCTGCCCTCTGCACTGTGGTTTTTCTTCTGCTCTACTTCTTCGGCATGGCCAGCTCTATCTGGTGGGTCATCCTCTCCCTCACCTGGTTCCTGGCTGCCGGCATGAAGTGGGGCAACGAGGCCATCGCCAGCTACGCGCAGTACTTCCACCTCGCCGCCTGGCTCATTCCCAGCGCCAAATCCATCGCCGTGCTGGCACTCAGCTCTGTTGATGGCGACCCAGTGGCCGGAGTTTGCTACGTGGGCAACCAGAGCCTTGAGAACCTGCGGGGCTTTGTGCTGGCGCCGCTCGTGGTTTACCTCTTCACTGGCAGCCTCTTCCTGCTGGCTGGCTTCGTCTCGCTCTTTCGCATCCGCAGCGTGATCAAGCAGGGCGGCACCAAGACCGACAAGCTGGAAAAGCTGATGATCCGCATCGGCATCTTCACCATGCTCTACACTGTGCCCGCCACCATCGTCATCGCCTGCTACATCTACGAGCAGCACAATCGGGAGGCCTGGGAGCGGGCGCAGAACTGCTCCTGCCCAGGGGACCCCCCCCGCCCCAAGCCCGACTATGCCATCTTCATGCTCAAGTACTTCATGTGCCTTGTGGTGGGCATCACCTCCGGC